GCGGAATGCGGCCGTGGGGTTGTGCTCTCTTGCAGTGAGGTTGTCTCCGTCGGCGTGGCAGAAGATTGGCCAAGGGAGGGAGTGGTTGGACGCTGGACGGAGGTTTCTTCAGTGGTGCCAACAGCGGCGGTCGTGGTGCCAATTGAAGCCACCGACTCTGCAGAGGATGTGCTTTCTGGCACTGCAGTGCTTGATCGTGCAAAAAGGAGCGAAGACGTGGTGCCTCCTTCGGCTGTGGTGGATTCTGCCCAAGTAGAAGAACTTGTGCTTTGGGACGCAACGGTGGTCTCCGGAGGGGTTGATGGCGGCGAGGTCCGAGCCCGAGAGGGTACAGTCTGCATGGAAAGCGACGTGGGCAGGGGAGACTCAGATGCTGGAGAGGGTGTTCCGGTCACTTCTGCTGAAGTCAGCTCAGCCTTCGTGGAAGAACCCTTGCTGATGGTTGGCGTGGTTTGACTTTCAAGAGACGTCACACCGGTCTCCACCGTGGGAGGCGGGCTCTTTGGCGTGGAAGCTCTCATCTCAAGAGTCGAGGTACTCAACTGCGCAGAAGTAGGAGTTGTTGCCGAAGAGAGTGGTGGGCTGCTGAACTCAGCCGCAGTTCCTTCGACCTCAGCCGAAGTACTGCTCTCCCGGATGGTAACGGTGGTCTCCTCGGTAGGGGCAAGCGAAGAGTGGTGAGTAGAAGAGACAGAAGTTGGCCTGGGAAGGGTGGTTCCTCTAGCAGAGCTCAGCTCCTGTTTGGTCGTGGAAGAGGCGGAATGCGGCCGTGGGGTTGTGCTCTCTTGCAGTGAGGTTGTCTCCGTCGGCGTGGTAGAAGATTGGCCGAGGGAGGGAGTGGTTGGACGCTGGATGGAGGTTTCCTCAGTGGTGCCAACAGCGGCGGTCGTGGTGCCGATTGAAGCCACCGACTCTGCAGAGGATGTACTTTCTGGCACTGCAGTGCTTGAGCGTGCAGAAAGGAGCGAAGACGTGGTGCCTTCTTTGGCTGTGGTGGATTCTGCCCGAGTAGAAGAACTTGTGCTTTGGGACGCAACGGTGGTCTCCGGAGGGGTTGATGGCGGCGAGGTCCGAGCCCGAGAGGGTACAGTCTGCATGGAAAGCGAC